TTAATGGGTTCATGCTTGAGTTAGGGTCACTTTTATGGAAGTATAATGCCATTTTTGGAGTTTAGGTTTGTTTGGGGCATGCAAAGTCACCAAGTCAGTGACTTTATGGGTTTAGATGTTAAGTATAGCTCAGATCTGTAATTTGGACTTGTTGGATCAAGTATTAAGCACTTAATGGATGTTGTGCATGAGCTACTTGCACGCTGGGCGTACTACGTAGTACGTTGCGCGTACAGTCCATTTGCTCAGTACGCTAAGCGTACAGAAGAGGTACGCTGGGCGTACGCTCTCAGGAGGACTTGGGCCTTTGAGGACTTCGGACCTTTAGGCCCTAATGGTTTTGGGGCTGGATTTGTTGATAGTTGGGCCTGTATGCATCTTTGGGTCAATAATGGAATAGTTGGGCCTATTGGGCCTTGTGGCCCAATATAGAAATGGACTTCACATTTGTGGGCCTCGGTTTGGGCCAATTCTTGGAATAGGTTGTTGTGGGCCTTCGTGGGCCAATTTGGTCAGTATTATTGACTAAGGAGAATATTGAGCTTTAGTATAAGGTCCATTAGAAAGGTTTGGGCCCAATTTGGAAAATTGGGCCATTGACGGTTTTATGGACATTATAATGTTGAGCTTTTGTTTTGGGTTCGGACCTTAGTTGTGGGTCATATTGGGCCAGAGGTAAAATGGTCATTCTACCCCATGTGTGGATTAAGGATTATGATATGGGGCTCAATTGTTAACTTGGGTATATTGATTGGTAGTGGCAGCTCGGGAAGCTGGGGGGGCAGCAGCTAAGGATTTCTTCAGGAAGCTTCTGCATTCGAGGTGAGTCTTCTCACCATACCAGCCCATTTTACGTTATGTGGTACACTAGCTGTAGTAGAGATATGTGGTATGGTAGTTAGCTTTATGCTAAGTGATATGCTAGTGATTATATGATACGTTTTATGCTAGTTGTCTTTGTGATACTTGCATGGAAGACCCCGGGGGGAGCCCGTGGCATTGGATGTAAGACCATGTGGGGTAGCCCATGGCAGTCCTAGGTAAGGACCATGTGGGGGGTAGCCCATGACATTGGATGTAAGACCATGTGGGGTAGCCCATGGCAGTCCTAGGTAAAGACCATGTGGGGTAGCCCATGACATTGGAAGTAAGACCATGTGGGATAGCCCATGGCTTTCCTAGGTTTTATGTATGCATGGCTTATGTGATACAGGTAGCTTTTATAGCTAACATGATATGTGTTATGTGGATTGTGTGTATGGCATGCTCTGGGAAACTCACTAAGCTTCGTGCTTACAGGTTTTTGTTTATTGTTTCAGGTATCATCGTTTTGGAAAGGAAGGGCTCGGATTGATCGCAGTGCACACACCTATGATTTCCGCAATGAATGATTTTGGGATGAACTCTGATAAATGTTTTACTTAATGATGATTTGAAATGTTTGGAATAAATGATATCTATTTTTAGGTTATATTAAAAATGAAATTTTTACCCCTGATTTTTGGGTCGTTACACATGGGTACATGAAGGTGACAAAGGAACTTTATGCATCCGTTCTTTCTTTAAGTTGGAGGTTATATGAGGACTGGATTTCTTATGTTCCTTTGTATCAAGTAACCTATTCTCATGTTATGCATTGAGATTTCTTCTTTTTAATTTTTTTAAATAAAAATAAGATCAAAAATAAAAATAAAAATAGAATCTGATATGGTTCATGCTTGACATTTAGAATTGTCCTTCTTCACTTTGTAGTGGACCTTTGAATAAGATGTAGTGAGTTTTGATGGGGAAGCTGTCGACATCTCAATATAACGATCCTCTGAACTTTGATTTACTATCATTTTCCAACAACGACACTCGTGAAGGTTCACTTTAATTAATGACCATTAAAATGGAATGAAAAATCGGAATTTTAAATTGGGTATCGAAATGATAGGATTGGTGTTGGGTATCACAACTTTGAGATACTGAACCACGTACGATCGAAAAATGCTGACCCATATATACCGATCCATAGAGATCGATCCGTAGATATCGATCTTAAGCTTGTGACTTGGTGGTGTTTGGTGAATCATTCCGCTGCAGTGGTTCTTCAAGTGTCGTTTCTTGGTGATACCGGAGTAACAGATCAACAATTATATAATATACGCTCGTAAGTTGTAGAAATGAGTATAGGAAACATCAATGGTTGGGATTTGAGATGCATAAGATCGGTGGAAGCATGTAGGTAAACAACTTATGGTCGTTTGATACACAATGTACAAACAGTTTGATGCACCGCTTAGACCCAACTCACACCTACTTCTTTCGTGACCATCACTTTTTATCATATCAGGCTTATGCGACATAGTTTATTCACCACCTGGAACCAACGTCACGTGCAGCGCAAAGTAATCCGTACTACCTTCCAGCTAAGTACAATGTCATCTTTTTTATAGTTGTCAAAAAATCCTTCTGTTCCATATTTGTTATTAGTAAATCACATCTGAATTATTTTTTGTGATACACTTTGTATTACCCGACTATGCATAATGGTTTGGAAAATTTTGATGTCAGACATGTATATGTCTTATATTTTTTTCAACTACATTATATTTTAATGTTTTACAATGTATAAACGCCCAAAGTACATTTTGTCTCATGGATTTATGAAAATTCAACATTATCTAAACCAAATATGATACGAATATTTATTTGTATTGCCATAGAGTGAGCGAACGGCGTAAAAAGAATGTGAGATAACATACGTGAGATATTTGAAGAAAATAAGAGTTTTGAGGAAATAAAACTTTGAGATAGCAAATCTGTGAGATCTTTGAAGAAATGAAGAGTTTTGAGGAAATAAAACCTTGAGATAACAGATCTGTGAGATCTTTGAAGAAACGAAGACGTGAGCAGTAGCTATTTGCTCGCAGTCCCACAGATGACACCACTTGATGTAACCCCGGTAAATCGTCACGAGGCTGATCGAGTCGAGATCTCGGATGTGTGCTTCGATGCCGCTAGGGAGCCCCGATTTGTTTCCTGTTACATTCATAAACGAGGATCGTTAGAGTCGCCCCAGGACTTGTGTCCCGGGAGCAGCCTCCGACGATCAAGTTATTATTGATGCAAAATGAGGGTCGGGTCCTTCGAGTAGAAGGAACCCGATTGGAGAGAGAGAGAGAGAGAGAGAGAGAGAGAGAGAGAGAGAAGTAAAACTTAGCCTTATGATGTGTGTTGAGGGGTACTTATAGTCAATAATATCTTAACCTCGGAGAAGAAGTTAACAGTTGTATATTGAGAAGGTAAACTTGAGTTGTACTTGAGGTGACATGAGTACTTCTTATCTTGGGAAGGAGCAGTCAGTCAAGAACTACTGATGATCGAACAATGGTCAAACGATCGAATCGTCGTGAAATGACCGAACCATGGTAAAGCGACTGAACCGTCGGGAAATGGTCGAACCATAGGAAAATGGTCGAACCGTCGGAAAATGGCCGAACCATCTCTAAAAGGTCAATGAGATATACATATCAACAAATATGTTTATACTTTATAGCGGATCAAAGTCTCGCAAATGCCTGAAGAAAGTTAACCAGCCTATTTGGTAAAACATTCTACTTATTTTGTGTTCTCTGCGCCCTATGTTTTGATTTATTTTTATTTTCTACTAGTTGACAATTTTCCGATAAACTATTTTCTATCTTTAAGATCTTTGCATTTCTCATTATGACAAGTTGATGCATGGGGTACAAGTCTAAATGCAAGGGAAATAAGTCTTGATGAATGATATCACTAGCAAGATTGGAAATTTGATGATATCATTGGTGTAGGTGGCAAAGTGAGTTCATTGTTTTGGAATTTGACGAAACAATTAAGCAAATTAATCGGTTTGTTATGACGTAAGACATTTTTCGGTCATTCAAATGTTTATGGCTCAAAATGATTTTTTAATGGCTTTTTTATTATTACGAATTTTTATTATTTATGGTTAATTAAATAACCGATTGTGGATCTTACCATAATCAATTTCAAATTGTTAGAATTGTGAAAATAACTTTGTTACTTTATATTATTCACAAGTATTCTCTGTTTTTTTTTATGTTATTAGGGAATTGAATTTAGCTAATTAGCTTATTCAGTTCTTTATGTTCGTGTTAGTTATAATCGGTTGTTCAATGAGATCGTCTGTTCATCACAAATGTTGCCCAACAAAGAACTTTGTGCTAGTTTTAATCGGCTGTTCAATCCAATCGGCTTTGCATCACAAATGTTGCCCAATAAAAAACTTTGTGTTAATTATAATTAGTTGTTCAATCTAATCGTTTGTGTATCACAAAAGATGCTGCCCAACCTAGAATTGTGTGTGTCCAGGGAAGACTTTTGCTCATCTTCATGACATGTGGATGTTCTAACCCAAAGTTATTAAATAAGAATTTTGGACCCCAACTTTGCATTTTGTCCCCCCACTAATAGCATGTGATTTGAAGTGTCTTTTTTCCTAACAATAATACGTTGTTGCATCTTTACATCCATGCATCATCGACTAAAATTCTATCGATCCTTGCTATTTTCCAATTTTAGATTTATTCGTATATCAATTGCAAATAAAAATAAAAATAAAAAAAGAAGAAGTTATGAAGGTTGATATAATTGATGTCGCGCCTTAATCTTTCCACCTTATAAAATTTGGAAATTAAATCTCCCATAAGGGCTGTCTGTTTCTCTTGGAACAAGTATCCAACGACAACAACCAATTCAACATAAAAAAGTCATCAATTTTATTATTTTAGGTAAAGATTATATGAATAAAATTATTACTTAAAATAATAATAATGACAAATATATTACATTTAAATAGTTAAATATCATAATAAAATCCATTTACCTTTTATTTTATGATTGATAAATACATACTACTAAAAGAATAAGAAATGTGGTAGTTTATATATTTATACGATCAACTCTAAAATATAAATAAAAGAATACCAAAAAATAAAGAAAAAGCAAAAATAGAACTGCCAATTCTCTCTCTCTGTAAAACCTCTTCTCTTTCATTCTTTGCTTTCACCCTTTTAAATCACGAGATCCCCATCTCTTTCATCCCTTTTCCATCCTCTTTTTCTTCTATGTTATTTTCCGACGGATTCCGCCGGTGGTTGTATTTTAATCTCAACCATAACGGCAGCCATTGCTGACGACATTAGTTTTTGTCTTTGGAGCCAAACCCTGAAGATTTATTTATATCTCTCTCGTTAATTTCATTGCCAGAGAATAGAATATTAGGTCTGGAATGGCGGATTCCGGTAAGCCCATTTCGAGTTTGGGATTTGATACACTGTCCGATCGCCTCCGAAAGTCACTCACCTGCGACACTCATGATGCCGCCGATAATACCAATAAACCTGACTTCAGAGAACTCGATTTGGGTTCTCCGGTTTCGCCTTTGAGGGCTGGACCTGGACCCGCCGCTAGTAGTAGCTCTAGCTCATCTGGGTCGGTGTCGGGTCGGACCGGAAGTGGACCTCGTTCTGGTTCTGGTACTTTACCTGGAAGGTCAGATTCAGCCGGCACCGTCAACAACCACTCCGGTGAGTTGTCGGTTGAAAGTTCACCGACATTTGCCGCTGGCGGGTCTCGGACATTTAAGCCTGGTCACAAGCGGTCAGACTCCCGAGGAGGAACCGTTGGCAGCCCGACAATCCATTCCGGTGGAAGCTCAGCTACTTCTCCGGTCGGCAATGTGCTTCCGTCCGGCAATATCCGCCCGTCGGGAAAGCCACTAACCACGGGTATGATGTCAAGCCGGAGCTCTAAAACCGAGGTATTAAGTTTAGGAACCGGTAATTACGGCCATGGCAGCATAATGCGAGGCGGTTCCGCCACCAAGTCCGCCGTATCCGGTGGTGAAAACCAATTTTCAGCTATTTCAAATTCGTCGAATTCAAGGAGATCATCAATAGATCCCGAAGATTTAAAGCGGTTAGGAAATGAACAATACAAAAAGGGAAATTTCACAGAGGCATTAAATTACTACGATCGAGCTATATCAGTATCACCTGATAACGCCGCCTATCATTGCAACCGCTCCGCCGCATTGATGTGCCTTAACCGATTGACCGACGCCGTGAAGGAATGTGATTTAGCCATTAAATTGGATTCCGGTTATATAAGAGCTCACCATCGTTTAGGATCTCTTCTTATCAGGTAAGACTCCAAAAACAAGCTCCTTTATTCTTTACAATTTCTTCAAGAAAACCATTTTGATCTGTAATATGTGAGTTTTTCTATCTTACCTTTTTCATTGCCCCTTTTATTGCTTATAAATTTGGGGGAAAAAATTGTATGACTCGTAGGGTTGTTTTACAATTTACAAGTGAGTATTACCGGTATTCCATTGATTATTTTGTTATGTTCTTGATGATGATGATGATTAAAGATGAAAACTTTACATGTTAATATGTATAGTTGGATTAGCTTTTTAAAGTGGTTATCATCGTATAATCGTATTCCATCGATTATCATGAACTGTTCTTGAGAATAATGATTAAAAATGAAAATTTTCTTTTTGCAAAAACAGTTTAGGACAGATTGAAAACGCAAGAAAGCACCTTTATTTCCCGGGGTCCCAACCGGACCCAAACGAGCTCCGAAAGTTGCAGGCGGTGGAAAAACACTTAAATAAGTGCACCGATTCAAGACGCGTCCGAGACTGGAGCAGTGTGTTGAGGGAGACCGATAACGCCATTGCTTCTGGCGCTGACGCTTGTTCACAGGTATAAAACAAACCGATTTTTTTTTTTTTTTTTTTTTAAATTAAATTATCCGCATCGTTAATAACATAACAAAATGTCTTTTACATCAAATTGACAGCTATTTGCATGTAAATCAGAAGCGCTTTTGATGCTCCGACAACTAGATGAAGCCGATTTAAACCTTATAAACGCCCCTAAATATGTCCCTTCATCTTCCCAAACGAAATTTTTTGGAATGCTTTCAGAGGCATACCTGTTCTTTGTTCGTGCTCAGATTGACATGGCATTAGGAAGGTGAACATTTATGCAATATCAAACAATTCCAGATTTAGTAAAAATGATACTAAAGACCTGTTTTTTTTTTTTTTTTTTTATTTAAGATTTGAGAATTCGATTAGCATGATTGAGAAAGCGGGACAGATTGATCCAAGAAATGTGGAGGTTGCGGTTTTGCTTCAAAATGTGAAGTCAGTGGCTCGAGCCCGGGCTCGTGGCAATGATCTTTTCAAGTCAGAAAGGCTCACGGAAGCTTGTTCGGCTTATGGTGATGGGCTACGGTTCGACCCATCGAACCCGGTTCTGTATTGCAACCGAGCCGCTTGTTGGTTTAAGCTCGGTCAGTTTGAAAGATCTCTTGATGATTGCAATCAAGCCCTTCTTATTCACCCAAATTACACTAAAGCACTTCTTCGTAGAGCTGCCACATTCACCAAGGTACCAAATATCAAGGGACATTTTTTTTTACTTAATCTGAACAGAATGACTTAATGTATTCTGGCACCAACCCTTTCCCTATTTTCCCTTCATCTCTTCTCCTTTCGACTCCTCTCATGTTACGCGTATTGTGAGAATAGTTTGTTGAAATGTAAGGGTAAAATGATCATTTTGTCTTATTCAGTCTAGTATATACAACATTTTATCTAGACAGACATTATTACCCAATTATATGGAAAAAGGTTTTTTTTTCATGTTTTATTTGAATAAACAAAGAAATTAGTAAAAATCTTGATTTATTTACAGCTTGAAAGATGGGCGGAATCGGTGAAAGATTATGAGGTTTTGAGGAAAGAGCTTCCAAACAACAATGACATTTATGAGTCGTTGTTTAATGCTCAAATGGAGTTGAAGAAATCTAGTGGCAAAGATGTAAATAATTTGAATTTGGGTGGCAAGGTCGTTGCAATCACTGATCTCGAGCAGTTCAAAGCTGCAGTTGCTTCCTCTGGTTAGTTTTTTTTTTTTTTCTTTTCTTGTTCGTATCTTCATGAATCTGTCGATTTATATTTTGTTGAATAGTGATATGCATAAAAACTGCAGGAGCTTCTGTTGTTCTTTATAAAATGTCATCGGATCTTCAATGCAAGCAGATATCTCCATTTTTTGACACACTTTGTACACGATATCCATCTATTAATTTCCTCAAGGTAAAACATTTCAATATGTTGGTGTTTCAATCGTGCAAAACTTTGATTTTAATTATTAATTATTTGTTTGTTTTATTACTAAAAAAGGTTGATTTGGAGGAAAGCCGAGAAATTGGGGATGCTGAGAATGTGAGGGTAGTTCCTACAATAAAGATTTATAAAAATGGCAGTCGTGTGAAGGAAATGGTGTGCCCTAGCCCAGAAGTGTTGCAGTCGACATTGAGGCATTACAGTGTTTGAAAGAACTTGACGGAAAATTTATGTTGTACACTTGGCTTCGAAATTAGTACCTGCAGATATAGCATTTAATGAAGGAGAATATGGTGATTTCAGCCTCTTCTCGACATACGAACGTATTTACCACTTTTTACATTGCGACATAAAAACCAGACGGGGGATATATAGCTTTTAGCTTAGTTTTTTTTTTTTTTTTGGCAGTTGTTAAAATTCTATTCATTCATTGACTACTCACCATTGTTCTTTGTTCATTTTTAGTACACACGTTTTGCACTTGTTTTAGAAGAGGATACACACACCCATATGCCTTTGAAAAGCTCAAACCGATGCACTTGGTGGGTTTTGTCGGTGATTTTGTGTTATCGGACATTTTAGGTGATTGAGATTTATACAAAAGTGGATTTTAGCCTATGCTCAATATGGAGTCAAAAGGTGTGTAGTGCAAGTTCGGATTAGTTAGTTTGATCCCATCCAGTGAGAGATGATGGGGTCAAGGGGCCATGCCCATATTGGAGGACTACAAGTGTTGGATTTTAGACCAAAGTGAGAAATGGTCCTGTTGTGAACGCAAAACAATGATTCCGAAAAACGAATACAAAAAACTAGTCAACAAAGAACAAATTTAATATCTTCTAGACAAAAAATCATGAATAATCAACCGGACAAAGAAAACTTAGCCATAGGAAAAATTTAGGTATATCCTTAAGTTTTCTTTAGATACGATTTTAGCCTGACATTATTTTTTGGTGAGTTAAAATCGAAACTTTACGAGGTTTCTTTTTTCTTCCTAATTTTGACATTGTTACTTGCCATCATATAGGTATGTTGGTTACTATAAAGTAAAATTTGTAAGAAAGCCTTTAGATTTACTATAATTTTTTACGTTTTTATAAGTATTTTTTCTTCAAGTTATTAGTATTCAATCGAAAAACATATTCATATATGAAAAATTATTTAAATTAACATCGTATTTACATTTTTTTTAAATGTCATTTCTTTATATACTGGTCTTTTTGTTTATTCATATGTTAAAAACGTAAAAATGTGTTTTTAGAATATATATATATATATATATATATATATATATATATATATATATATATATATATATATATATATATATAAGCAGACACATATTTTTCTAGGTTTTAGAAGTATAAATATATTTTAAGAAATATTAATATGTTTTTTAAAAATATAAATATGTTTTTACGTATTCAGAAGTATATCAATAAAAAAAATATAAAATTACATATTTATAATTCTAAATTCAAAAAATATGTACTTATATTTGATAAAAGAAATATAATTATACTTCAAAAAAACATAAAAATATGTATTTATGCTTCTAAAAATCTATATGAACTTAAGAAAACTACCTTTTAAGGGTCAATTTTGATATTCAAGTTTAATTATCATTTTACATTGTTTATAAGATTTTCCAACAATGTTATCTTATTGTCCCTTAGTTTACCCATATCTTGGAAACCAACGTATAATTTTAATGCTTAACTAGTAAAAATGTCTACACGTTGCTACGAGTTTGTACATGTTTGCTAAATCAGAAAGACATTTCACAAAGTTTAAATTAGGGGGTCAATGTAACAAAAATGGATTTTCTAAAACCCATGTGTAACATTCCAAAACCATGATAAAAGTTTCATTTTAAAAGACATTTTCATAAAACTATAAGATAAGCAATATTGTTTTCAAAGCAAATCCACAGAAATCATAGTATCAATATAATCTCTCAAAACATAAACCACCAGGAGGATGTGTACGATCACGCATTCGTCTTGCCCTGATCATATGAAGTACCTAAAAACATTGAAATCCACAACTGTAAGTCAAAACTTATTGAGTTCCCCCAAAATACTCCACACAACAATACATATATAATGCATGCACACCGGGTCCACATCGTATACCTGGATTGCCCTCGAGCCCACAGTCATAAGACTGGATTTCCCCCAGCCCACAGTCATAAGATCGGATTGCCCCAGGTTTGTTGGTCTACAGCATAAAGCCGTATCGCCTCAACCTAAACGCACTATGTCAACATATGCACCAAAACAACAACAAGCAAGCACGGGTAATCTTATTAGATCTATTATTCTAACATATCACTACAGTATAACAACATCCTATACACAAGGACACATACTGTAATACAAAATATAATGAGAAAAATCACCTCACAAACTAGCAGACACAACACAGCTCTCGCAAATCCAAGACTAGTGCTACATGCCACCTAGGACCAGATTCTTAAACTACAGCCCAATATCCATTAGTTGTCCTAAAGTCAAATTTGGTCAAAAGTCAAAGGTTAACCTCTCGTTGACATACGCTCAACGTAGCATGCAACTCTACCCTCAACGTAGAGCTCAAGACGACAAAACGGTCAAATTTGGAGCTACACTCAGCGTATAGAAATCTACACTCAGCATAGCCACCTGCTGTCCAACTTTTCATTATGTTATTAAAATAGAAGGTCAACCCCCCAAACTTTCAGATCTACTCTAGATGGATGTCTTAATGGATAAAGTCTCTAACTTTATCCGTTTGCATGGTTACAAACAGCACAAAGCCAAACCCTAGGTCAAAAAAGCTATCTATTGCTTAAGAACACATATATAGATGGATGAGAGTGACAAACATCTCATTTTTATGACTTAATAACCCTAAAAACGTCTGGAAATGATACTCAAATGGTCTGGAGTAGCTCATACTCACATAGATCAAGGTTATGGGGACAAAAGCATAGAAATCTCAATATTAACTAGATCTAACATGAAACATCATCAAGGTATAAACTTTATACCTTTTGGAGGAGGATAATGGGATGCAAAATCCATATCTAGAAGGCTTGGAGCTCCCATGTGCTTCCCCAATGAAGCTCTTCCTTCAAAGATGCACATAAAACACTCTAAACTCTCAAAATTCTCACAAGATAGTTAGGTTTTAAGGTGGCTGCTTAGGAGGGTGGAGGTTGAGCATGAAAAGGGTCTCAAGGGGTTAGAGCCTTTAAATAAGGCTCACAACCCTTTGGGTTAAGGTTTTTGTTCAACATAGGGCATTAAGTCCTCACATCTATTTATCCACCTACGCTCAGCGTAAGGGACTATCCTACGGTTGGTGTAGGGAAAAATTCTTGAAATTAAACTATAAGCAAAATAATAATAATACCTGTTAGAATCGGGTGTTACGTTTCTCCCCCGTTTGAACTAAATTTCGTCCTCGAAATTCTCAATTGAAAATAGATTTGGATAATGCTCACACATCTCCGCCTCGTGCTCACATGTCCACTTGGAACCCTTCTGATGTTGCCACTAAACCTTGACCAAAGGCATTACCTTGTTGTGCAAGGCCTTCGTCTTCCTATCTAGACTAGCTACCAACCTCCACATAGTTAAGACGCTCATCGACCTGAATTTCATTTAACGGAACCACTGTCGTATCATCAGTCAAGCATTTCTGAAACTGAGAAACATGGAAAGTGCTATGAATCTGACCAAGAACCTCAGAAACATCTAAACGGTAGGCCACCTTGCCTACCCTGGCCACCACACAAAAAGGTCTGATAAATCAGGGGCCCAACTTGCCCCTCTTTCTGAAGCGTATAACACCCTGCCATGGTGATACCTTTAGTAGAACCATGTCCCCAACCAAAAACTCCAACTTAGACAGTCGTCTATCATCATAACTCTGTTATCGGCTCTGTGATGTCTATAACCGCTGTTTGATCTGTTGGATAAGCTATGTCATATGTAGTACCATCACTATCCTCCCCATGAATGTAACATCTTGATTTCCAGGAATTTACATTTTCACCATTGTTATGAGAATTATTTGCAAATTGGTCCTAAATGGCATTTTTGTAATTTTTGGAGCTACATGTGTACACTAGGTGTACCCAAGCGCACACGTGGCGTACGTGGTATAGACCTAAAAACCCTAATATTTAGGGTTTGTGCACTATTTATTCATCCTTAACTCTTAAGGCTCCTTTCATCCATCAACCTCCAGCCTCATTTTGACCCCTATGCAACCCTAATGCATTTAAGAGCACTTTTGAGCCTTGAGTATACATTTTGGTGTTCTTGAAGGAGGAAGAATGAAGAGGAAACCATCCTAAGATTGAAGCACTTTGGATCCAGAATCTCTTCACCATTTGGAATCATTTGAAGGTAAAAAGCTCTGAACTTGATAAATTGTTGATTAGATCTTGTGTAGCTATGGATTTGTGTTCTTTTGGTCCCATAAGCTTGGTATTATGAGCATGGGTTACTCTAATTCATATAAGTTGTCCTTTCAGCCATTTTAGAGTGTTTAGAAGCATAAAAATGTGATCTTGTTCATTAGTTACCTTCCATGCAAGAACTAGGATGTCTTAATGGGTTACGAAGTTAGGGTTTTTGGTATTGAGCACTTAATAGCCATGCAAGACCATAAAGTTGGAAACTTTATGGTTAAGGACATAATTTGAGGACTAAATCTGAATTTTAGGCAAAGGGGCTTAAGGTTAAGCTCTTAATTGAAGGTGTGGCTGGATGGTACGTATCTTGGGTGTACGTTGGAGTACGCAACGCGTCCGTGGTCAACATCCCAACCTTGGTCAAGCCTTGAGTACATTGGGTGTACTCAGTTGAGTCAAATCGACTGATTTTGTTGACTTTTGACTTTGACCAGATTTTAACCTAGTTTGACCTGGGGGTATTCTTGGTATTTTGAATTTTAGTTGAGTTGTTCATTTTCATGAATAGGTAACTGGTTGAGTTGATATTTGAAGCAGTGTCCTGTTCAGCTATATTTTCAGACTGAGAGGTGAGTCTTCCACACTGTACTTGCGGGTCAAAGGCTCCAAGGCCGAACCAATGCATTGATATCCTGTTAGATACTAATTGATGATATGTTGAGTATGCGATAAATCTGTATGATTGTCTGATAGTTGTTGATATGCGTTAGACTGGTAGATCTGTAGGACTACATGTGATTATTGTCTGTATAATTATCTGTCTGCTGAATATGTATATTATCTGTTATATGTCGACATGTTATGTTGGGTTGAGACTACTGCTTTGCGCTGTTAGTCAACAAACCGGGGCAATCCAACCGGGAGGTTTTGGGCCAGGGCATTCCAACCGAGAGGTTCTGGACCTAGTACATGGTATGCAGGGTAATCCAACCGGGAGGTTGTG